GATCGACATCTGCAGTGGCTCACCTACTAGTCAAGCAAGTATGTCATACCAAGCTTCTAAAACCAAATATTTAACAAAGACGCACAGATAAATTTCACTGCAGTAGAAAAAAAAAAAAAAAGTTGATATTTTCCAGTCTGAAATAAAATGCACAGCTTCAAGTTCACATGTTTATATCGGAGAAAACATGCCATAATTTCCTGAGTGACACCCTGGGAATTGTTTCTGTCGAAAGAATTAGAGAAATTCTAAGAAACCTCCAGCTGTGAAATAGAGTAATATGCTGAGTTTATTAGCGAGCTGGGCTGTGCAGGTTGTCCAGTAAAGAGGGTGATATTGTCTGGGAAAAGGCTATTGCAACAACAGTTTTTGTAACAGAATCCAGAAACCAGTAATATTAAATGGACAGTGACCTCTATGGCAGAGGTCCATCTCTCTCTTTCCCTCTCTTTCCCTCTCTCCTTTTTTCTGTCACTCTTCAGCTGTTCTATGCAATAAATTCAAAAGCCCCGAAATATATATATTAAAAAGATCCTGGGTCTAAAGCACTTAATGGACAAAGTGTTTTACAATTGGCCTTTGATTCACTCACATTCACATTGCCTCATATCAGGTTCCAATTTTGTAGAGTCCCTTGGATAATAAAAGCATGATTCAGGTGTTTATCATGTCAATATTGTTCCCTATTGTTCCCAACACCTCTCTAGAGTTATGTGCCAAGTCATCACGGATCACAAAGTGAGTGGTTCCTGCAGTTGAGGGAGCCGACCACCAGGTGGCAGTGGCACACAGTGTCTGTACTGCGGTTCTCACGCCACATTACAGACATTACTTGGTGTTTTCTGCTGTCAGTCAGGTCAGAGACAGTTGAGGGGATTTGAGAAGCTGTTTGAGTCACTGTGTATTTTTCTGAGTCATGTGTCACTGGCGTCCTGCCATCCTGCAGGGGTAGCACTGCACAGCAGTTCTGGAGGTAAATCACCTCACCTGTTCATTGTGTCATACTGGGAAGAGGTGGGAAAATGAAATCTGGTGCTTTTTGGAGGAGAAGTGACAAAATTTAATTGTAGCTCAAGTTTAAATTTCATGCACAAAGTGAAGCAGCTGCAGCTCTAAATGCCCGGACAAGCACTGTAAGATTAGCCAGGAACAGAATAATAAGAATAATAGTGGAGATATATGATTTTTTACATAATGAGCAACCTTACAAAGACGAGTTGATGCACAGTATTGATCTGGAAGCAGGAAATGGTGCCACACCTTTCATTACACTAATCTGTATTATTTAATCTTGTGTGTTTTGCATCAGTTGAAATGTCTGGTGCTCTTGTAAAGTTCTAGTTGTGCAAAAACTACTCTGTTGACTATTATAACATATATTTTAAGAGGCTGGATTTGTTTCTGCAGAAGTATTTCACATCGATCTGTGAATTTCTTTCTTTGCGGTGCGAAATCTCCGGTCTAAGGGACGAAGGGGCGGCAATAGCTCAGTGTGTAGGGACTTGGCTTGGGCCCACAGACCACAGTATGGAGTGTAGACTGGTAGCTGGAGAGGTGCCAGTTTCACCTCCTGTGCACTGCCGAGGTGCCCTTGAGCAAGGCAACCTAACCCCGAAACCTGCTCATGAGGCGCTGGTAAGCGGCAGCTTCCATTCACTCCACCATCTCTTCCTTTTGGCATGGTCCACATGTGCAATGAAGTGTGCAATTCATTGCATTGTGTTGTATTAAAAAAAAAGGAGGAGAAAAAAACCCAATTTCCCCCCTAGGGAGATCAATAAAGTATATATCTTCCCTTCCTTCTTCTTCATCTGGGAGAAAGTTTTCAAGATGTTAGACCTGGATACACCCTTAAAAATGAGTAGTTTAGTCATTTTGGGGTCTTAATTATTAAGCTAAGAGAATGAAATTCAGAAATAATGCATAAATGAGACACCAACCAGACTCCATAGAGAAA